CCTCAACAACATATTTAAAAATAAAGCAAATCGGAGAGGAGGCCCCTTTTATGCATAATTACCAACTTTTCTTCTCAGTTTAACCCAATCTACTATAATCTTTGGGGTCGTCCATATCGAATCTGACACCCTGTATACAGTATATACAGATATTTAGTACATGTACAGGGTGTTATGTATACTCGCCTCACCTCTTATTTACGGATAGAGCAGACTAGACTGAGTCGAAAAGTCCTCTACAATTTTTGCAATAGTTAGTCATTATTAAAAATCGCTGTTTTAGCCCTACCGCCGAATTCAAGCTCGCGGCGAGACGCGGCCGTCCCGTGATCGGCGTTGCTAGACGCGCGGGGAATTGTTTATGACACACGGCTAGGGCGTATAATAAACAACTCGCGCGCCTAGCAACGCCGACCGTGGGACGGCCGCATCTCGCCGCGCGTTTGAATTGGGCGGTGGGCCGGGCTAAAAGATAGCAATTTGTAAATTAATAACTCGTTAGCTATTGCGAAAATTGCAAAATGGTAGAGGACTTTTCGGCTCAGCCCAGTCCGCTCTATCCGTAAATAAGAGGCGAGACGAGTATTACATAACACCCTGTATATTTACTGTTTCAACAGAAAGCTGCGTTTTAAGACCGCTAAATAATTGGCACTCAATTCACCAAGTTGGAAAACGTACAAAATTCACACAGAAATATTATTAGATTACTTATTGTTAGATCCAACCCGGAAATGGCATTGTCTCTAATTGATTGTTAGATTCATCTTGGTCCTGTTTCACGTACTATCATATTGTTAATTTGATAATCAATGTAATAATATTAATGCCAATAAATATCACAAACTGATTAAGATCAAAAGAAGATGCAATAATCGTATGTGTGACAACTGTAAAAGCAGATGCATTTAATCGGACGCAGCGATATGAGAAATAAATGCGGTTTTGCCGACGCGTCACGCGAGCGATTTATTACAGGATTTCAACGTAATCGTTTCGCCTATCAACGGCTATGTCTGAAGTGATTTGTCGTTCCACATAACGAACCGTAAACTTGGACATTCGATTCGTACGATTTTACTGCGTGCACAGTAAAACCACCGAAATAGCGAAATCAGCAACGCAACTGAAATCGGCAGTTACTTCAGCAACGGGTTTACGTCTCGACATCGAGCTCGGGAATCTTTTGCGCGCGCATATCTAAAATAAATATCCTTAAGAAACAAATGAGTTCTTCAGTGCCCTTTGTTGTTCTTTCTAACGTTCGTCTTTTAACAAAAGATAAACGGTTAAATAAATCGTGCAGCCAACGAAAGTTTCCAGTAAAAGCCGGGAGCAGACTTTTGCATAACGCATAACGCATAAGGGAATATATCAATCGAAGTTCTTCATTTTCATTTCTGCGGATCTTGTATAGTGCATAAAATATAATGCATAAGAGACCGAAAAATTCGCAAAAATAAATTCTTATGCGTTATGCAAACAAATATCGCATCAAGAAACCATTTCTGTCATTATAACTTATATCTTTTCTCCGTGACGTATTCATATTTAATACACATAAATGAACAGAACGTTATGTAATATGTACAGTGGTGAATAGAATGATTGCAACACGGTTTTTTTAGGAGTTTAGGAACGCGCAGTTGGACTCAGGTTTATGTTCTAAAACATTTTTTTCTTAGGAAAATTGTACTCAAGAAATGGATCGGAAATGCTAAAAATGGTTTCGGAACGGCCATCGAGTAAGATATTTCTCGGAGAAGATTTTGAAACGTAACCCTGAATGTAAATGCGTGTTCCTAAACTCATTTACAAAAGTGTTACAACCATTCTGTCCATCGCTGTACAGTGATGGCTAGAATGGTTGCAACACTCTTTTAAATAAGTTGAAAAACGCGCATTTGGATTCAGGGTTACGTTCAGGATTCCTTAACAATTTCTCTGAGAAAAATTTTACTTGAGGAATAGATCAGAAATGCTCAAAATGATTTCGGAATTGTCATTGAGTAAAATATTTTTCAGAGATTTTAAAACGTAACTCTGAATTTAAATGCACGTTCCTAAACTCATAAAAAAAAGTGTTGCGACCATTCTGTCCATCATTGTACTATATCTTGTGCGTGCACTATTGACATTTGATTAAATATCATTTCAAACTTTCGTGTCACTAAATAAGTAAATAAATAAAATTCCAGAGTTCTTTGAAGGAAAACTCCAAATTAGCGATATGTACTAAAGGAGCCTCTCGGCTCGGTCGACCAGTGACGCTGAAGCGCGCGGGCAAAAGTTCAACGCGTTCAGATTGCATTAACCTTTTCGGCGAAAATAACGACGTCCACGTACGCCAATTGCGTCGACAACTGTAATCGCGATTCCGCGTACGTTTCTTTTTCCCTTGAAAGACGCTAAGAATTCAGGACGTGCAAACGATTCGCATTTCGAGTCCCTCAAAACTCGACCTTTGCGAGCCGGCCTGTGCACCTCTCAACCGCTTTGAGAAATACTCTTCTTATCCCACTTGACGTTCCGCCAGAAATACACGCGCCGTCCGTCGTCGCCGCACGCGCGCGACTCACGCGCGAATGCGGCGAGCGAGTAACGAGATGGCCCGCGATAAATCCATCCAAATTCGTGATAGCCGTTGTCCCTTCACCGCCGCATGCGCGTGCCCAATCAATCGCAATCTAAAACTCCCACTTTCCGTACTGAATAACTGAATGTAAAATGTTCGGGTAACCGATTGAAACTTGAATAAAAAAATAACTAAAAAAGAGCGATTACAATACTTTCGATAATGAAATTAACAATCAATTAAAGTAATGAAAGAAGGCAGAGTACGACGCGGTTCTTGTTGCATATCAAGATTGTCAATTTAATAAATATTATAGTGTGGACGCTCGTTGAATGTATAAACAATTGACCAAATTTTAAAAGCCAAAAATAACGAGCTACTATAGAGGATGTTGGAAAAATCAATTATATTCTTAATAATTTACATAGGTGAACTCGACTTTACTTAGTCTTTTTCAACACCCTAAATCAATAATTACGATACATTAAATTTAAAAGGTACGTGACTGGTCATTTTAATTATTATTAAATGTCGTTGGAATACGTTAAAAATTAGTAAAATAAAAATTATATGTATATATAAATGTCAACATCGCAAACAAGGACAAAAATTAATAAATATTGTTGCGCCCGCATAAAGACGGCCCTCCCGCGCTCGGGCTGAAGCGTGCCTCTCTTTTGGAAAGTGCGTTTCTTCACGCTACTGATTAATTATCCATTTGCATCCGACGAATTTGCCTGTTTTGGAACAGAACGGCTCTGCACGAAATCTCAGAATAAAAAGATCCTTTTTGAGTTCTTACTAACGTGTCGTTTATTCGCGGCGGACTCGGGAGTGTGCGGACGCACAGCATTTTGGTATTAGAAGTGGGATCGATTGCGAAGGACTTCGGATCGGTCATGAAACTTTGGAATATCGAGAGAAAGTTCCCTGGTGACGCTGGCCCCTCCAAGGAAAAAAAGACCTTTGGACCCATCTGAGTCTTCGATGGTGTGCGGACGCGTAACAATATTATAAATACATGTAGTGACCGATGCCTTAGCGATGGACGTCCGTTTCAATTTTATAATTTGACCAAAGTTAGATACGTCTTGACCTTTTGGTACGCTTATCCTTGAAAATGACCATAATCCGGATGGTCGAAACGTTGGATGTAATCTTTTAAACCATCTGCCAGTTGGGTCGTCTAATAATCCTTTCTATTCTCATTAATTATATACTGGCGACAATAAACTTTGTTCCTATTATAAATACATGTTTTCCGATCGGCTCAATTCGAGCCACCTTCAGTGATGTTGAATATAAAAATTTCTCACGTTCCTTATTCCTTTCCTCTCTTTCTTGGGATCTTAGAGTGTGAAAAGCGAAAAGTTTCGCCGGTGTGTGCACCTTAGTTTAGATAGAAAGATAAAGAATCTTCGGATGTTAGTCTTGACGGTGACAGCTAGTAGTAGTAAGGATAGAAAATGGCTCGGCTCTGCACAGTAGTACCGGGAAGCAAAGGAGAAGAGGGCGAGGCGAGGAGAAAGGTTCATGCCGGCGTGATGGTACGGATTTAGACAACATCTGGTCCAGTCTGTTTCGCCAGTTCGGCGGGCAAAGAGCACCACCGATCGGATTCGAAATAACTATCATCCCGTCTTCGCGTATCTTGCCATTTCGCCCGTCCGTGTACCGATCCAGCATAAGACCAGGTATCCCTCGACCCGATAGGCAGCGCAATCCTCTTAATCGAAAACGCAAAACGCATCGCTTTCCGATCGGTGCTCGCGAGGGCAAAGATTTTAATTCCCGGTATCTCGCTCGTCGCGGAAATACGCGTCCCGGCTTTCAAGTAAAAGCCGCGCGGGCTCTCTACATAAGTATACGCGTTTGTCTCGCACGCTAAACGCCTCGTTGCGAAACGCGCGAGATGTCGTAACGAGAATGCAAACTTAAATCTCTTCTCGAAAATCCATATGCGCGCGCAGAACGCAGGGTGTGTATTGTGTACTTATATTATGTACCTACATGGAGACACCGATGTTAGGACAACGCGATCGCTGGCGATTCTCGGAGCGCCGGGATGCATCAGCACAATCGGGATTGCATCCGGGTTATGATCTCTCTGTGCGCGCCGGACGCGCCGCACGCTTCTCCCTCATGTCATGCGGACCGCTATCCGCGATCGCTGTGTGCATTCCTGGGAAATCACACGCCTTCCTTTTATCTTCTCCCACATTTCGCCCCATTCTTTCCGCCCCTCCCCCCCCTCTCCGTCCCCTCGGTTTTATATTTCCGCTTTCCGTCACTTTTCTAGCTCATTGCCACCGGATTTAACGATCTATGTAATCGTCGCACGTGCAAACTTCGTTAACCCTATATCGATCGGGGACACGTGGCCGTCGCAACAAAAAAACGAGAGCGACTTAGCACATCGCGGCGAAATCGGAATTTGTATAGCGTTGGCGCTACTTCCATATCGTCGGGCTCGGGAGGCTAATTTCTGTATCTTTATATATATAATTGTCGCCTGTTATAACTTCGTAGTGACTAAAAAAAACAAGCGTGTCGGTAAGAGACGCACGCGTTCAATCCTTAAATTCCTAATTCAATTGTACTCACTGGGTACATTACAAAATTGATACAAGTTAATCACGTACAGTGAGCGATTAATACTTAAATTATTTTAAATTTCAAAGAATTTAAAGGACTCAGAGCCGTGACAGGGTGGCAGTGTCTAAATATTCTATTCTAAGTTTATTGCGAAAAAATATCACCTCGGCCAGGGTTTGAACCTGGACCTCCCTCTCGCTAGACGACCACCGAGGCACATGGCAATACTCTTATTTTAAATTATAATTTTTACTTTTAATACGGAATATTGTTTCTACTTATATTCAATCTATTTAATATACTTTTATTTGTTAACGGATATCTCACTATCAGCGATGCCTCGCAACTTTGTTCATTTATTCACGGTGAGTTTACCATATTTTTTAATATTTTTACCTTTATACATAGGGTGTCTGACGCAAGAATACCTTTATGAAAAATGGTAGTAGATTAGGTTGGACTAAGAAAAAAAGTCGTGCAACATTTTACAAAATTCGCAATAGTTATCAAATAATTTATTGAAACGTCTGAGCGAATGAGCGCGTAGAGAGCGGTAGGCTGGGCCCGGAAGGTGTGTCAGATAGCTTTATTTTCCAGATCTCCTAGCAACGGTGAGCGAGGTGGAGCGACGCACGACGTGACTCCGCGCCGGAAACAAAAAACAGTAAGCGATGTGTTTAGGTAATGTATGTCCCGTCTCGCTCACCGCTCGCGCTCGCCGCTCGTGCCCGCCCTACCGCTTTCCACGCGCTCATTCGCTCAGACGTTTCAATAAATTATTCGATAACTATTGCAAATTTTGTAAAATGGTACATGGTTTTTCTTCCGTAGTCTGATCCAATCTACCACCGTTTTTCACAAGGATACTCTTGCGTCAGACACCTTGTATGTTCATTTACACTTTACAGAATTGTATCGCAATATTGTTGTGGCTTTTCGACCTTCCAATCTCAAAGTTCGCACTTCCGGTATCAAAGAACTACATCAAAAATTGCATGTAAATATACTCGCTGAAGATGGCCCGAATTGTGGGCCGAAACGCACGAGCTTAACCGAACAGACATCTCTATTGTATGTTGCGAATACATTAAGCACTTTTTTAGCACACCATGAAAAGTATCGAACTCTCTCAAGTCCTTAATACAATAATTGTGAAATTTTCGAGAATCTACTTATTATATCATTGTTTAAATTATTTTTAATTAACCGACCTACATAGTGTTCGATCTTAGCGTAATTTCGGTATAGATATAGAGTGAGGTAAGTCTTTATTTGACGTCTGAGATACAAGCGGGGAATACAAGCGGGGAAACGCATAAATACGCCGGTGGTGTCCTGTACTCTTGGCATCCACGATGCGAAAATCCCCATCGGGGAGAATTTTAAGGGTTAAACGTGCACGTACAAGCCACACACGGCGTCGCGACTCGCGGCGTGGCGTCGCGACGCGTCTGCCAGAACGTTTCGTGTGTCTGCCCCCACGGGTTATCGATTTTGGCTCTCTCACGCACGTAACTAAATCTTCCGATATCCCTCCCGATAACTCCCGGTCGGAAAAGGACCGGAGTTCCGCTTCGTGAGAATCCGTCGTCGGGGCAGCTTGCGGTTCGAATCGCCCCGATATCGGAGCTGTCTCGCGAGGCTCGCCAACCTCCACCGCGGCAGAGCGAGGCACCGTGGAACGTATACGCACGAGAGAAAATCGCGGTATCGAGATTCCGCGCGGGAGACAGAGAGAAAGAACGCTATCGGAGCGTGAACGGCGCGCTGTTTTGTTCGCTCGACTACTTTTTCCACCCTACTATCGCAAGACGGCGACGGCAAAGAGAAAGGGGGGAAAAAAGAGAGAGAGAGAGAGAGAGAGAGAGAAGAGTGGGGTGAGAATTGTGGAGACGAACCTGACGTGCGCTCTATCTCTCTCTCGACGAGAGACGCGTGCGAGATAACGCGGCCCTTTGTCTTATCGTATCGCGCGCGCGATACAACGACGGGGAGACGCGCGATGACGCGACACGGCACGGCACGGCACGACACGACCACGACACGACACACGCACAAACGACACGATATTCGGCTCGCGACTGAGTTTGACATCGTCGCCGCCGAGGGTGTCTCGCGGAAGAGGAGAGCTCTACCCCCACCGACGCTGCTCAGGCGCCACATGGAGCCGCGCTTGGGGTAGGGGGCAGACCTCCTCTCGATAGAGTATGTATAAAGCCTCGAGAGTGATATAACGTTACGTCAGAGCGCTTGCGCCCGGCGCTCGTGCGTTGCTTGCTCGCTCGCTCGTCTCTTCGCTCGCTCGCTCGCGTTCCGCCGCAAAGTGGCAACCGGTGGTACCGGCCGCAGCGTCGGCGGGTATTTATGTAGACGGTGCATCGCGTCACGCTAATGGGCCCGGCCGCAAGCCGATACAGCCGCGAGTCGAGTCGAGTCTAGCCTCCCTCCGCCGCCGCGCCGCGCCGCGCCGCGCCGCGTTGACGCACCTCAGACGCCACAACTACTTAACCCTTTATTCGGTAACGTCGTTCTCGGGGAAACTCGAGTTTCTTATCCACCCCTCGGCCCGTCTCCGTCGCTCGCAATGGTCGAATTTTCGATCTACATCGCCGTCAAGCCGCGGGTTATTACAGGCGCGCTGCGAGATCTCAGCCGTCAAGTTTTTCGGTATACCAATTGGCGCATTGAGACCAGCTATTCTTAGCGCCGGCAAATAAAATCGAATTAGCAGGTATTTCGGTGAATCGTAGACGACGGATATAACATCTGATTCTTCATCGTTATCGCCTCAATCTGGAGTCTATTAAAATATAATAGAATTTTAAGCGGTGGACATGAACCCGTATCTCTCACAACTTTTTATAAGCTGACATGTTACATTGTACATTCGTTTTTCCTTTTTCTTCATTGGCACTTATTTGTTAGATATTACTACGCTCTCTTTCGCACCTCTCGATTCACAGTATTGATGGTAATTTGTACATACCACTTGAAAAAGACCACAATCTCTGGATGGTCGAAACGTTGTGGAACTAATTGTAGATAAATAATTCTGCCAGTTGGATCGTTAATCTTTTTTTTTTTATTTATTATTTACTGGCGACTATGAATCTTTGCCGCTGTCGTAATAGAATTTGTTGATCGTGATAAATTTATCGAGGTCTGAAGTGAAAACTGAAGAGAAGTCGATAGATTAGACGGTGGATTCACGATCGAGAAATAGACTCGAGTAAAATGTGAATAAGGGAAAAAGTTATTTTAACTTTCACGTTTATTGGGCAGCCAGTGTGTACCGCGATACCGAGCGAGTGTGACGTTACCGTACGGCGCGGCGTATCGCGTTAATAAATCAATGCGCGAGCATCGATTTACGCGCTGTCTCCGTCCAAGCTGCCAGCGGCGTACGCGGCTTTGCGCATCGGCTCGTTTGTTACCGATGAAAGGAATGCGAATTGGACTTGCGTAAAGTAGCGGATAAAATGGTAACGTAGATAAGCGAGAGCGTATAGCGTTGCCAACACGTGGATCCTAATGCGGGACCGAGCGGCTTGGCATGCGAAAACGACTGCGCCGACGTCGACGTCGTCGCCGATCGTCGCGTAAATAATAAGAGCACACGCGGGACGCGTCAACGCTTCGATTATCGCGTCATACGCGCGTGAACAACGCGTTTCTTCGCGGAGATTACGGCACGTATACGGGACGGTTGCTCGCTCAACACGTTGATCGTTGCGGCAGCCATCCGTAATCGACAACTGGTTTTTCAATAGTGCCGTGGCGGTCATCTCGTGACCAGCCTATCGAAATTTTTAACTCTTGCGAAAAACAAATATTGCCTAATATGCAATTTTATTTCCCTAATATGCGATGTAAAATTGAATGATAAATAATTACGCTGGTCTCTAGAAACCCCCCACGTTGCCTATATGTACGAGTCTTTCATGGTAGTCACGTGATCACTATGCACATGGCAGAAAGGCTTGCGCTACTGTAAAAAAATGTGCAAAAAATGGTCTCTAATATATTTACAAGCTGTATGACATTTGACGTAGGACATAAATTTTCGTGGACTGGTGCAAAAAACTCCATTGCAATAGAAAATTCGTCTTTTGCTAATGTGGTAATTGGTAAGTGTACTTGCAATAAGATTATATTTGCCTTCTTCAAACGTTCCTTTCTATTTTATATTATTTGTAAACGAATATGTAACAATATAGGCATTTTTCATGTGAATTCTAATTTGTTAATGGTTTTTTAGAATACTAATATTTTTATTTATCGAAATAGAAATAATTTTCTTATATTTAACCATTTATTAATGTTAATGTATATGCATACTATCCATAGGAGTTGTGTGTCATACGAAAGGAAAAGAATCAGACTGCGTCATCTCATTGATTACGAAGCACATAAAAAATTGGTTGCAACATGCAGGTGACAAAATGAGATACCGAATGAAGAAAACATCAACACAACCATAGGAAAGGATTACATCATCTGTCGTCTTCGTAGAGGTTATATTTTCGTTATACCTATGTTTGAGGTTCAATCGAATTGAAACGTTATGACCATGCTTCGAATACTGGGTGCTGGGACTGCCCTCGAAAGAGAACAGAGTCCGCAGTAGTCGATGTTAGATCGAGATAATTCGGCAGTGGGTGTTGCAACGTTCTTGATCGAGAGCTCCGACCAATGGACATCACATTTATTTGTGGGTTTCAGATTTTATTTAAAAAGCTCGATATTTTTACATATCGAGCTTTTTAAATATGTATTAGAATTTATTGACAACGTGCATTTTGATACAGAAAACTTGCGTGTATAAGCATTTGCGCGTCGAATGATGATGTAAAAGTGATATGCGAAGCGGTGTTTTTATGAATGCCACATATATATATTATTTTTAAAATTGTCATTCCTCCGATGTGGTTTAAGTACTGTTTCATAATTGCGTTTAATAATTGAATTTATTTTGTCAATTACGATTGTATAATCTATTGTAATTCTAATCTAATTGTGATCTAATTGTATAAACTAGCCCTAAAGTTAAATAAATTCAACTTTATTATAGAATACATTCGATTTTATTTCCTTATTATAGATTTTAGGAGCCTTTAGGAGATCTTAAGACATCTTAAGGACATCTTTTTGATTTCGTATATATGTCTTTAAAAGTGTCTTCAAGATGTCTTCAAGATATCTTTTAGACATCTTTTAGATATCTGAAAGTGGTACATAAGATGTCTTAAAGATATCTTCAAGATGTCTTCAGATTTCTAAAAGATATCTTAAACATAACCCAAAATGTTGCATAAGACGATATACAGCTCATACAGCACCCATACAAAAGACATCTTTAATACATCTTTAAGACGTCTTTTAGATATGTAGAAGTCTAAAAGACATCTTTTTGTCTATATGGGTAGTTACAGTTACTCGTTATCGAATAAAAAAGTAACTAGTTATCGTTACTATATCATTTAAAAAGTAACGATTCGTTCTTTTTTTCGTTACTTTTAATGCCAAAACGAGGTAAGAGATAAGACTAAATAAGAAATAAAGTTGTTCTTAAAATGCAACTACAAGGATTATTATAGGATTTTGATTATAGAATTGTTTGGATAAGATTATCATATCATAGATATACATATCTAAAAGACGTCTTAAATATGTATTAAAGATGTCTTTTGTATGGGTGCTGTATGAGCTGTATATCGTATACTTGCGCACTAGCGCCTAAAGCTTTATAAATTTTATAACTTATAAGTCTTATAACATATACACTATACAGTATCAAAATTTGAAGATCGATTCATAAGTATATAAAAGATTTATCAAGTATAAAATATGAGAAGTAACGATAAAAATAACTTTTATATTCGTTACCGCTACTAAAAAAAAGTAACTACGTTACTGTTACAGTTACAGAAAAAATCATGTAACGCCGTTACCAATTCGTTACCAAACAAAAGTAACTGTAACGGTAACGGCGTTACAAGTAACGCGTTACTTTCCAACCATGGAAAACTATTTAGTGAAAAATTCATTGTTTGATCGTGCGTGTAGTTGTTATGAAAAAAGATTTAAGAAATTGGATGTCGTCAAGTTCTATCGAGGTGAGTTTTTAAATTGTGTATTATGTAATAAATAAATATTTGGCAATAAATTCTGCACGCACTGATAGAGTAAGATTGTTAATGAAAATAAAAACAAATTCAAGCAACACCACCTATAAAACGAGGGTGTGAACAAACAAGTTCTGTGATTCAGATTTAAAAAATTTACATTTTACATTTCAGCATTTTAAAGCTTATTAAAGTCCCTTCAAAATGAGCTATTATATTTTGTGCCTATAGATATCCGGAAATTACAAAAAATGAATTCGGTATCTCATACAAGGGGACTCTTCCAATATAAAAAATCTTTAATGGGTATAGCACTATTACTGTACTTTTTGACAACCATAACTTTTTCTCTGTGAACTAATCTACACTCATGTGCTAGCTATTTTCACTTGTGTCGCACCTAATCCATGCAGAAGCAAAAACCAATTAAGTGGTTCTGACAGCTATGTGAGGCGTGAACGGCATCAATTCTCTATGGTTGTCCCAACTATACAATGTCAACTATGGCACCGTAACTACAGTACATCAATATGGACGTGATAACCACAGATACAGCTGTCCCAAATATTACTATTTATTGTGGCTGTGTCAATCCTAATTATGCATCTGGTAACCATATCGCTTTTTCCATGCAGCAGGAGATAAGATCACCAATACGATCCGAGCAGGAAGAAGGTAAATTCAACCCAATGGTTTATACAGTGTGTGAATTTTTATACTGTTTTCCAACTCTCCCGCGCCGATTACTTTCGATCTTAAAACACAGTTTCCTTTGGCGGAACATCATCGTCAGGGAACTCACGTATCTTCACGGAGAGACCGATATGGTTACCACATGTCTAATTAGGTTTGGCACAACCCCAATAAATAGTAATATTTGGGACAGCTATATCTGTGGTTGTCATACCCACATTGGTATGAGAAGCAGTGGAGGCAACTATATGCGTTTTGTGCAGCATACTTAGTGAATGTTGTAACACAAAACAATGTAGATGCCCCTACTATACTATTTATTTATTTATACGGCAACGTTTTAATTTTAGTTATTTTTGCCTTAGCCGGTCTTTCCGTGTTTAAATCGATAAACGATTATGAAACGTTTTGATGGTTACTAACTTTCTATACAATCGGGGAATACAGTGACGGGAGGGGAGAGGGGGTCCGTCACTGTAAAAAAATTTTATTTCGAAAATATTACCTCCGCCAGAGTTTGAACTTCCCTCACTCTAAGCAGGCGTCTCACCAATTCGACTATTGAGGCATGTGATAATATTCTTCGCAATAATTGATGAATACTTAAGGAACGCTATACAA